GTGGCACAACATAAGCTAACTGGACATGTAACACACTATAAGCTAACTGTACATGTAACACACTATAAGCTAACTGGATATGTGGGCACAACACAAGCTAACTGGACATGTGGCACAACACAAGCGTGAAGTGCATGTAACAGGAAGAGAATAAAGCCGTGCATACAAACACCTGAAAAGCAGATGAATACTAGGGAATAATATGGCTTAAGATTCTATTTTCTGTTGGTTATCGCATTGAAATATTTATTCTAACATGGTATTGTAATTATTGATTTTATTTAAAACAGCTATAGAAAAGTGGAATTTTTTGTGGCCCACTGCTAGCTCACTTGACACAAGTGTTCTGCACTACACCCTGTTATAAATTTATGTAACAGTAACTTGTGTAATTATTAGAAATACCATTGTAATACTGGTAACAAGAGACCTTATAACACCAAATTTTAATCGGACACTCAGCGTTTCACTTTACATTTTTTCAGGAGCTTTGTACTGTCAATTATGGTTTGTGTTTTAGTGGAATGCTCCTGAAGAAGGTATTAAGCGAAATTTTGAGTATCTAATTACAGAAAAATAAATTTGGTGTTATAAGGTAATTTATTACTAGTATTAAAATGTCTTGTACGCCAAGATGTACTACAAAAATTAAATAATGAGAAATACCATTAGCTTACATCTATGGTAAAACAAGTAATGTTTTTTTATGCCATACAGTGATTGAAAGCGGTTAATTTGTGATAAAAGAGTTTTGGACAACCTTATTTAGACTGGGTGCAATCAACAGGTCATTAATGCACTCTTTTAACAACTCCGGTCTGAACGTTTTAGAATAGAGTCGAGTTTATCAACAATCTAAACTACGTGGAACTACTTATTACCTACCACGTTCAACACTTGTATCCAAATTTCAACAGCTGTTAAATATAGTACAGTAAATTCATAATTTTAAGGAATCGCATAGGATAAAAAAAAAATTAAGTGCTTATGGAGATCTACTAAAAGCACAGTAAAGTAGGGGTTGTAACTTAAAATATAAATTTCTATAATGTAGAAGTAATTCATAAGTTGAATAAAACGACACTAATTGTGGCTTTCATACATAATGTATATTATTATATACTTTTATAAGACTGATATTTGAAAAAGTAAGTTGTAACTATTAAAAACTAGGTTCTTTGAGAGAGTAAAATAAAATACAGCGTAAAAAGATAGTGATTAATAAACGTATAATTGTAATACGTTTTAACTTAAAAGTAACGAACACACCATAATTATTACTGTCAATGAAAGTATAATATATTTAGTATAGATTAAGTTGCTTATCATAGCAGAAGTATATATAGATAAAGTAAATTATTATTTCATAAATAGCAATATCAGATGTCATGAAACAAAAATTTGTAAAAGTACGTAACTTGTTTTGTGATAGTGGGGTTCATATAGATAAGATAATGGGGTATTTGTGAATTATAAATAACGTAAGATAAAGGCTAAAGTGCGTGGTGACTGCTAGTTGGATACAAATTATAGTGAATGTCAAAATAATGGGCTTATTCTTCTTAATATTATATATAGTAGTAGTATTTAGTAAGTTTCCACTTGTTTTCAAAATAATATTGTTACGACAGCGGGGGTTACGTGACGCTAATAACACGTCATATTCTCGAACGTTCACGTCTCTTCCTGAAGTCTCGAGAGGTTACTAGATATGGGGTATTCTTGTATATAAGTCGTCAAGAAGTGACGGCAACAATGTAATGTAACTGAACTGCAGACAGAGAGAGACTGGCAATTGAGTCGAACACGTGAGTCGTTCGTTGTGAATTATAGCGAGACTGTGGAAATT